AAAAGATGAGGTCAGTTGTTTTGAAGTGTTGGAGAAAATGTATGCTCTTTATTTTTAATATAGCTAATGAAAATTTACATATATATATATATATATATATATATATATATATATATGGTGGCCCATTCATGTGTGGACGGAATATTACTCTTAAACAGTTTTCTAAAATATTGGCCATTATACAGGGTGTCCCAATTTCGACATAAATATCAAAGTGGTGATTTTTCAAATGGAATGCCTCAAATATTGCATATTTGGATAAACCAATTCAAAAGAAGAAAATTAATATAACATAGTAAGGGGTTTTGGTAATCAGCTACTGATATATAAGGCGTTCTGTCTAGAAAAAACCCCACTTCGGCAACCCCTCAGCCCGCCATTTTGGAATTTGGAGTGCTGAATTTTGTATAAAAAAAACTTTCACACCTCAGCTTATATCTTATTGGTTACTTTTTCGAATTTCAATTTTTGCTCATACAGGGTGGTCAAAAACGCAAAATGTAGTTTTCCTCAAAAATTTCAAATGCATCACCCTGTATATTTGTGCAAGTTTGGATTCAATTTTTCAAAAGCTATTTTTTGATACTAGACTCATATGGCTATTTTTTTGGTTATTAGCATGTCTTTTACGGAACGGCTTAATTCCCCAAAAATATCGCATCGTCCTTGGAAACAAATAGATTGTTGATTAGTTACAAACTGTCAAAATTAGCTGTGTGAGCATTATAATAAAAACATTTTGAAAATGAATTTTTCTAAAAAATAAATGGTGAATATGGTGTTCGTTTTGGGAGGAATAGTTTCCTAGCATCTCGCATTTATAAGCAACGGTACCCTAATATGCGACATCCAAGGCCGGAAACATTTTTCACACTACAAGAACGTTTTGAATCAAGTGGAGCAGTGGAATATAGTAAAAAATGTATAAACAATCCAAGTGTCACCAATGAGGCGAGTCAGTTGGAGGTTCTATTAAAGTTGCAGGAAAATCCCCATTTAAGTGCACGGCAAATTCGAGCAGAAACTTATATATGTATATATATACATACAGAACTTCTGTCCAAAGGATTATTCACAAGCATATGTACCAACCATATCACCTATGTTTGCATCAAGGTCTTCGTCCTCAGGATTTCGCAACATAGGTGTTGCCAACAGACATAACATGCACTATTATGCGACGGAAAACCCTTACTAGGCAAATAGATTTCCTAAATAAATGGAACTTGAATGTTTGGGGATGAGTTATTGGCAGACAATTATCGGGCCTTTCGTTTTCGACAACATTAACAGGTACATAATACCAGAATTTTTTGATGGTACATTTGCCTTTGCTTTTAGAGGATGTCAAGCTGCAGACTCGGATGCATATGTACTTCCAACATGACGGCGCACCTGCGCATTATCATAATCGTGTGGATAACTATTTGGACACCTGGAGTAACAATCGTTGGATCGGTCGTGATGGGCCTATGTCTGGCCTCCTAGATCACCAGATATGACACCGATGGACTTCTTTCTATGGAGCTACGTTAAGCAAGAGGTTTATAGATATCCACCATCTACCCCGGAAAATGTGAAGAAAAGCATTAAGGATGCTTTTCTGAACTTAAGGGAGCACATGCTGAGGGATGTGCAACGTTCATTTATCCAAAGACTACGGTTGTGTATTCACCATGGTGGAGATATTTTCTAACAGTTTTTGTATATTAGGTCTTGAGTAGTGATAGTTGTTTGTTTATGTTCTTGTTATAGTTGTTTTTCTCTATTACGCTTGAAGCTGATTTATAGTATTCTGATTGTTATTAGATTGTTATTAGCTGATATATGAACATAGAAACCAAATAAATCGAGGGTCGTTGTCTGAAAAAGCAAAGCAAAACTCAATTGCTATATGCAAAGCGGCGAATTGACAGTGTATCATTAATGATAATGTTTAGAATTTGATATCGTTGATGGTTTTTGTTATGTGCATGATCACCACAATGAACCAAAAAAGTGGTATATATCGGTTTTCCAAAATTATTTATAGTCAGACATTCTTTTCAGTTTATTGGAAAATTATCAACGTTTTTTCGGATATGAATTCCAGAGGAAACCTATGAATACAGCAAACAATAATTATCATAATTCAATAATAATCGGATATGTTATTGTATATATCGTTATAACATCACGGTGCAAATTAGGTATATTTATATTTCCTGTAAAATGACAATACAGGTGCCAGGTAAATAATGGATAATCCAAAAGTACCAACCAAAAAATAGGTCAGCATTCCAGACTTTTCCTACCATTGCCTATGTTCTTCCTGCGAGGACAGTATCCGTTAACTCTACTAAGTTGTTCTCCATACCAATCTGATCAAATGTCTCCATCGCACTATGATCGTTATATCAACCGTTTTAAGTTAACGAATTCGATAAAAATATGTGCTTACGACAGACACAAACATGATTTTATGATTTCCTTTGGTATAGATCAGAAACTTAGTATCTCCTGTAACGCCGATTTGATCCATCTAGGTTGTCTGCCATTTTTACAGGGTGGAAAAGTCAATGAAACATAGATGGAGAATAGTTCCCGGTGCGAACGTTTAGAAAATAAAATAAATTCGCGAAAAAACGCCGGTGTAACCCTATGGACTTCAGGCATGACGATTCGAAAACCAACTAAAAACTGCTTTTAATGATGCTTTGATAAACCCACTTAATGTTGGTCTGTTTTAGCCGCATTTTATGGTCTTCTTAAGAAAGGAGAAAAAAAGGTGAAAACGGTTCCTCTCAAATTGGCTGACATTGTAGTATTTTGCCTACTGTATTATCTTGGGTAAAATCTAAGTTACGTGGAAGATTCTACTTTTAAGGGCTTGCGAGCAAGTATAATAAATTCACGAAAAAGTGTAACTTTGCAACGAACACATCCATTTCTCAGCAGTGGCGAATCGTATCTCATGTTCTCTGTTTGCTACCCGACTATTGTAGTGAAAACTTTATATGCATACCTCATATGATAAAGCTATTTTTGATCTTACACATTATATTGTCATGAGTGACCACCCTGTAGCGCCTGACATGCGCCACATAAGCATCTTATAGAGCAATAGATAACCAAAACCATATCCGCTGAGAAATGTGCGCATTAGGGTGTCCGAAAAAAATTAAAGTTCTTTTTTTCAAACGCATACCTTCTAATTTTCTTCTATTAGACTCTATCAACTCCAAAAATAATATTTATTATTATTATAATTATTACGATCGGTGAACGATAACTCGTGAACTTTCGGTCAAACTTTGAATTTGAAAGTTAATAGGGAACATGTATGAACTTCAAAATTTAATTCGTATTCGACAAATAAAGCACTGCTTTATTTGTATCTTATATTTCTTAGGCCCGTATCGTCAGTCGTCCCTACAATTGTAGGGCGCCTTTATGGCCTCCTCGATTGTCATAGTTTTCTACTTCTCCGTGTCAGCACTCTATTTTGAGGTTATGTCATAAACATCTATTTGCATCAAATTGTGCTTGCTTTTGTGTTATATCATGTTTTATCAGCCTCAAACTTCCTACAATTTAAAAAGAAAACATATCTTCATAATAGGAGAGGGCTGACGCTGACACGGGACAAGTGTAATCTAGAATTTTTTGAAGGAGAGAAAGGAGTATGACAATCAAGGAGGCCATAAACGCGCCCTACAATTCTAGGGACACCGAAGAAAAAAAGTGGCGAGCTAAATATGTTGCTTCCTTAACTCCTTGGACATCATCTTACGAACCAGTGCAAGAAAATTCAGCTTTAGACTCCGAGATAGATTCACAAGAAACTGCCCATCCTAACTCAGAGCATACAACCTGATACTAATCGAACTCAAATGAGGAAAAGTTTTGTAGCTCCAAAATTAGTGGCAGCATTATATATGTAGGTGTCAGGTAAGTATGAGAAATTCTGTTCTTATTATTGAAGCAACCATTGAGGCACTTGGGGATAACACTGACGAGTTTGTTATAAGCGTATCCTCCATTCAAAGAATTCTTAAAGCGAAAGTAGTTATAAAGCTTGATTTCCAAAGCGGGGTACCGCATACTGTAACTCTCCACTGGGATGGAAAATTGTTACCACCTTTAAATGCACGCAAGTCCAAAGAAGAACGTGTACCAATTGTATTGTACGTATGAAAATACAGACCAACCTATCGCTGTGCCCAAATTGGATAATTCTTCAGGCAGCGAGCAGGATCAGGCAGTTTGGGATGCTATTATTGACTGGAATCTTGAAGATAAAGTTCAGATTTTCTGCTTGCCGTCATCACGCCTACGAATTGGTGTTAAAAGGCGTGTTTGAATCAAAGATCGACTAAATGACTACAAGCCCTTTCATCCCATTGTTTAAAAAGCTTCGAGAGAGCTGAAAAGGGTGGATCCTGAGAAAGTACAGATTTATACTCAAAAGATATCATGCCTAAAGAAACTGACAAGCTGCTATTATTTTATCGACAAGGATTGACCAAAGAATTGCTAGAGACGATTATCACGCATTAATAGAACTTTCAATAATATTCCTTGGCGGAGATACAAATCAAAAATCTAAGATTCGACCGCCAGGCGCCATGCATCAAGCTCAGTGGATTGTCAGAGCAATCTATTCATTAAAAATAGCGCTACTAGATTCCCAGCTCAAACTTTCTAATAGAGATGGGGCAGCTCTGGTAGATATCTGCCTGTTCATCGTGACAACATAAGTGAAACTGTCGTTGCACTGCGGTAAAAGCATCTAACCAGGATATATTATTTTAAAGGCAATTAAGGCTTACGAAAGAATTTCAAAAGCAGATTTACAAAAGTTCTGCCAACATTGATGGGAATATCTTTGAATTAGGTTTGATTCGTTTTTATAGATTACTGAATCAGCGTTTTTTACGAAAAAAAGTGCTTCAGAAGCTAGAACCATTTTTCTTCTGTATGGTCTTTTATACAAATACGAGGGATGTCTTTTAAGTTTTGCATATGGAAATAAAAGAACACGGTAGGTAGTTTCAAATGACTGTATTGTTTTTCGAAGTATTCTCCACGAAGATTAATACACATCTGCATGCGCTCGAACCAATTTTCGAAGCACTTATTCCACTCGTTTGCTGGTAGATCCAAAACGGCATTTTTGAATGCGTCAACTGCTTCTTCTGGTGACTGGAACCTTAGACCACGCAGTCTGTTCTTCATTTTCGGGAAAGTAAAGGAATCGTTAGGACTTAGATCGGGACTATACGGAGGATGGTCCAATAATTCCACGCTTTCTTCCGTTAAATACTGCCTTGTCTTTTGGGCTGTGTGCGAGCTTGCATTGTCTTGGTGGAGGATGATTCTTCTTTCGGGCTTGATTTTTCGATGCTCGGTAATGACTTTTGGCAAACAAATGGTGGTATACCAATCCGCAGTTACAGTTCTTTGCTCATTAAGAGGAATTGTTGCAATATGACCCGCTTTTGACACAAATGTCGCGACCAGATTTTTCGAAACACTTCGAGACGATGACTTTTGATGGCTTTTCTTTACCTTGGAACACCCAAACAGCCGACTGTCGTTTATATTCTGGTTCATAACAGTAACTTCACGATTCGTCAAGACTAACAACGCTGTACACATTTTTTGAGTTTCCGGAATTGAAACGGTCCAGCGTTTTTTGACACCAATTAACCCTGGCTGCTTTCTGCTCTTTAGTGAATAGGCGGGGTATCCAACGAGATTCTGCATGTAAAATTTTTTGAATTGAGGTCTTTGAGATCTTCAAGGACGCCTCAATCTCGCGATATGTCTCAGGTCTACCTTCAATGATGAGTTTGCGCACAGCATCGACGTTTTCCTGGGTGACTGCCGTTTTTGGTGCACCCACCCTGGGATCCACGTTTGAATTCTCCATACCAACGGGAAATTGTCGACTGATGTGGCGCTTCGTTGCCGAAAACAGACAGTAACTCAGCAAGGCATTCTTGTTGCGATAATTGTCTCTGAAAGTTGTAATAAATTATGGCGCGAAAATGTTTTCGGTTGAGTTCCATTTTTCTAATGACTTGGTGACACTTAAAAATTCACTGTAGTGAAACTTTGAATTTAAGTTTGCTAAAGAGTGAGGTTAAGATTCAGTATTGACGTTCGATCCGCGCGGCCTACTATGTTTCTATATGCAAAACTTAAAAGACATCCCTCGTATTTACTGGTTGAGGTAGGTTCCATTGCATTGTACATGGAAAATTGAATATTTCGCTTTATACCTTCTCCCTCAATTCCCAGTCTTCACAAAAACTGAGAATTAAATTTCAACACTGACACTTATATCCAAAAATCTTCTTATATTTTACTCAAAATTATTGTCTTCAAAACTCCATTGGTTCTTGGTGCCTCTAGTATAAGATATATAGTAGAAATTCTTAATGATCAAAGTGCTTCTGGTGATATTTGATACCTCATACAATGTGATTTTTCCGTTATTTCAAGTACAAATGCTTGCTCCTGGCTGAGACATTAGTACGTCTTCCATAAACGAAGGAAACATTTATTGAGATTCATGTAAGTTGTAAAAGTTGAAAACTTTCGTATACGGAACGGCCTTAGCCGTAGATAGTCGCAGGGCGATCGCATGTACAACCTGTTGCTGTTTTATTTATTACTTCTGTGGGTGATATTCCGCAGGATTAGAGCGATTTACCGATAATTCTCCACCGATACGATTTATGCCGTCTGTTTTTGCAGGGGAATGTGGAAGTACGGTTTAAATTTAAAGCACTATTGACTATTAAAAACTTCCATTGGGATTTTCATTAAGAACTTATTATATACAGTGCTTTAACATCTACTATATAGATGAAAGGTTGGGAAAGTTCGTGTTACTTTTTCAGTCTTATAAAAGCATATAAATTATCTTGATTCGCGCCAAGAACTGCAAAATATTATATAATGCTATACATTATATTATATATATATATATATATTCTATTACAGCGTCAAATATAGTAATGTATTTTTAAGTGTATATAACACATATTGGCGTTACAAAACTTCCATAACAACGTATGTTCCTTACCCATACCATATTCTATTATTAGCGGACTGTGCTTGAACCAGCCATTCTGTGCTATAGAACGAAAAAAAAATATTGTGGAATTGTGTTAGTAGAAAGGTTATGAAACAAAATAGCGAAATTGTAGGCTGTACCTAGGACGCTCTACATACTATGTTGAAAAATATAATACAATGGTGTTTCTTATGCCTAATATCCCAATTTTCATGCCGATTGATTGAACACAAGCAGTTCAGACAGAAAAATAGCGTCAAGTAGATTAACTCTGTAACCCATGTAACTCTGGCATCTGGATTTGATCTCATTTTTCCAATTATAACGCCATGTGAACTATGAATAGAAAAAGTCGAAAAAAGCAATTGCATGTCACATATAAAGTCAGTCTACCAGGAACATATTTCTAACAGACCGAATATGATTATATGTTTACGTGAACATATGTTTATTCCAACGACAAATGTATGGAAAACCTGTGCGATTATTATGTTTACCAGGTGAATTATATTAGGGAGATTTGCAACTTCTTGATAGTAGAACGTTTTTCACCAATACGAAAGGTGCTTTGTTCATGAGGCCATATCTCTACAACGGCTTACATCAACTGTCACGCCCCTAAAAAGATTTATGGAAAGCGGGAGTCTGAAACATGGAAAAACACAGTTTGAGAGATTTACTTGTATACGTATATATTCTTCATATTTGCTTGTAGCTCTGCCGTCACTATATGGATTTTCAAAACCTACAAAGGTTTTTCATCCTTAGCGTAATAGAAAATGACCTTGAAGGCTCGTGGTCAAGGTCATGGTCTAGGTCACCATCATGTTGCACACTCGAAACAGTATAACTTTTGATTGCAATTATCGCTTCTAGGATGCGTATTTTCGAAATATTGAAGTGGGGCGATTAAAATGAGGCACCCTCTTTAAAGGGAAAATATACACCACTGGATCACTTTCCAAGAATTACAAAGGTATTGTAGTGACCTTGAGTGGACATTTTAATCAAAATCCGAGCTGTAGTTTCCAAGTTACACAGGGGCCAAGGATAATAATAATAATAATAATAATATAATAATAATAATAAAAACATGCCTTTATTCGATTCTTTTACAAATGCATATTTATTTTACGAACCTTACCTTGAGGTACTAAAATTTGAAATTACAGACATAAGAATAGAGTCGTAGATTAATAAAGGAATACATGTGATTTGTGACCACTGCCTAATAATGTTTAAGTCTATACTAGTATACAAGTCATTTACGAGTATATAAAATCATAATGCCCATATGATATAATTTGAAAAATATATACAGCCAGTCTTATTCTAGCTGAATTTTTTGATTTATTTATTTATTTATTTTCCATGTTTACACTATTCGAACAGTCTATGCCATTTAAGGGATAGGAAATTTACAAATATGTATCTAGAGTGCTGGTAAAACAATCATATACAATAGATTTCTGATTATCAAGGAAGACTTAACCTATGGTAAGAAAACATTAATTTCGCGCATATTACAGAAAAATATATCTACACGGTCCTTAATACATTCATAACTATTACACATTACATAAACAGGAGAGAAAAGTAATGCATTGCTTTTAGGTACAGTGAGGTAAAAATATCTTACATTAACTCGAGTTTTAACATAAGGTACATGTATAGCAATTTTACCAAGTAGGTACTCACAGTTAATTATATTACTGAGTAATTTACCAAAAAACATACAAGCAGCATAATCTCTCCGCTTTTCTAAATTAGACATATTAAACCTACTTAGCAACACATCGTGTCTGAAATCAATTGGTGGGTAGGTACTACCCTCTCTGTACCACAGATATTTCGCAAACCGCCTTTGAATATTTTCGATCTTATTGCGATGCACTTCATAAACATATTAGTGAGCAATATTCTAGTTTAGATCTCATAAATGAATTGTACAACAGAATCCTGGTCCTTGAATTATGAAAATCCCTACAGTTTCTAATTATGAAGCCCAAGTACTTATATGCTTAACGGTATCAATGTGCTCGAGAAACGTTAGCTTCGCATCAAATATTATGCCCAAATCCTGATACGGTTTTAGCGGCAATTTATCAGCGGTGTAAACAAAATGCGTTGGAGCAAACTTGCGTGTGATGGACATAGTACAACATTTATCCACATTAAGATACAGATTGTTACGTTCACACCATGTGATGTAACCTTAAATCATCAGCATAAAGTAGATAGCTACTCTGCAGTTCACTAACAACATCTTCAATAAAAATGAGAAACAGTAAGGGACCAAGTACAGACCCTTGCGGTATAGCTGAAGAAGGTGTAATTTCAATGGAGATAAAACCTCTATATTCTACTCTCAAATATCTATCTGTCAGATATGAATTAAAAAAGCACAAACATTGATGACTCAATCCCCGCGCAGCTAATTTATTCAACAAAATGCCATGATCTAGTTCATCGAAGGCTTTAGAAAAATCTACATACGCAACATCTACTTGTCCTCTCTTATCAACAGTTTGCGAACAAAATTGTTTGAAACATGCTAAATTAGTTAACGCTGACCTACCTTGAAAGAAGCCGTGTTGGCTGGGTGAAATCTCTCGCTTAACATGGGAAAAAATTATATTATGTAAAATAAATTCAAAAAGATTGCAAACATTGCTTATAATTACCACAGGCCTATTTTAATCACTGATCGGTCTCCTTTCTTAAAAATTGGAGCAATCCTAGATGTTTTCCATAGCATAAGGAACGGAGAAGTTTTAAGAGACATATTGAAAAGATCAATCAAATTCTCAGCTATAATGACATCACATTCCTTTAACTCCATCTGGAATGGCAGATAATTTAGGCTTAATTTTTTTCATAGCTTCAATAACCTGTTTGTGCGTAATTACTGGCAAACTCAATGTATTGTTAACTGCGATTGCAGGTTGAAAGCTTGTTGATAGCAAGTTGGCTGTCATTGAACATCATAGCGTTAGGAATACTTGTAGCATATTTTCGAGACTCTATAAATGACTAAAATTGTTGAGGATTAGCAGTTATGTCCCTTTCCGTATTAGCAGTATATGCTTGGTATGCCATATCAATGCTTATTTTTATACTTCTTT